TTAAACACTTATCTTGAAGTAAGTAATTCATGAAATGCAGAATTCAGATTTTTCTTACCTAATATTCAGCCTTCAAGTCTCCAGGTCAGGTCTCGCTCTCCCATTGTCATGTTCAGAGAGAAGTCACCACTGCTTTATGTCAGTCAGCAGCCACCTAACTACAAAATAATATGTTACACCCTTGTCTCTAATTACACCAGGTAAATGATTATAAAATGCAGAATTCAGATTGTTCTCACCTGATATTCTTCTGGGGTCTTCAAATGTCCAGGTCCGGTCTGGTCCAATCTTCTCTTGTCAGGTTCAGACAGGAGCCACCACTACTGCATCAGTCAGCAGCCACCTAACTATACAACATCAAAAGTTACACATTTGTCTCAAATAACATCAACAGAATAGTAGGTAAAATGCAATAGTCAGATTGTTCTCACGTGATATTCTTCTGGGGTCTTCAAATGTCCAGGTACGGTCTGGTCCAATCTTCTCTTGTCAGATTATGAGACAGGAGCCACCACTACTGCATCAGTCAGCAACCACCTAACTATACAACAACTTAACTTAAGATACACATTTGTATCAAATAACACCCAATGGATAGTATGTAAAATACAGAATTTAGATTGTTCTTACCTGATATTCTTCTGGGGTCTTCAAATCTCCAGGTCCGGTCTGGTTCAATCTTCTCTTGTCAGATTAAGACAGGAGCCATCACTACTGCATCAGTCAGCAGCCACCTAACTATACAACATTTAAAGTCACACATTCGTCTCAAATAACACCAAAAAGAATTCTTAGTAGGTAAAATACAGAATTCAGATTGTTCTTACCTGATATTCTTCTGGAGTCTTCAAATCTCCAGGTCTGGTCTGGTCCAATCTTCTCTTGTCAGGTTCAGACAGGGCAGCAACCACTACTGCATCAGTCAGCATCCACCTAACTATACAACAACATAAGTTACACATTTGTTTCAAATAATACCAAAGGGATAGTAGATAAAATACAGAATTCAGATTGTTCTTACCTGATATTCATCTGACATTCGAATTCGTCTTGAAATCTTCAGGTCTTGTCCAATCTTCTCTTGTCAGGTTCAGACAGTAGTCCTGACACAACTGCATCAGTCAACAGACATTAGAGGTTACACACTTGTAAGTAAATTGTAGGTAAAAGGCAAAATTGGGATTTTTCTCACCTGTTATTCCTCCAGGGTCTTTTATAAATCAAGTCTAGTTCATACTAGAACATACTATAATAGTCTAGATAGTGAGTTAACGTTACACATTTGTCTCAAATAACATCAAATGATAGTGGGTAAAATACAGAATTTATATTGTTTCCCTCCCGCCTGCTCTTGGCCTCGGAACACTTTTGGTTTACATTGAAACACATAGAATTTGACTAACGAACACACGAGACAGCAACAAACCACGTTTCACGCAAAGCTGTTGAGGTCAGGGGTCACATAAGCGCCCCTTAGCGGTTTATTCACAGAGTACACTACTCTCCAAGCAGAGGTTTGGGGTTATTTTTGGCGTGTTTTTAGGCTTTTTTTATCGGGGTTTCTCTTTTGCACTGGAATTTTTTTTGGGGAGGGGGGGGGCGGTGTCTCGTGAAAAAAAATCCAGTGCAAAAGAGAAACCCCGATAAAAAAAGCGTGTTGTTATTCATTCTTAACACAATAGCAATGGTGTCTCATTATGATTACAGAAGTCGTGCGTCAAAGTTTCCATAAACGAAAGAAGACTTCGCATATAGCACCATTCAAGGCTTGGCCACGATAACCAGAGGTTTTATCTAGTATTTTTCGTAAACCTACACAAAAGTGTACTTCTATTTCAGGATAATTGATTTCACCCTCATTGAATAGTAATAATTTGATTGACCCATGTCAAAGAATTGGTGGCTACAGTGCAAAGTGTCTTTTCATCGATAAATTCACTAGACCGCACAAGTGCGCCCCCATCGGTTGCTTAACATAGTGCAGCGTTAAGTCGTGGGGGAAAGTTGCCGCATGCTTATTTTCAAAATTCTGTCTTTTTGCTTCAATTAACTGAAAGGACATTTATCTACAATACCCCAGAGAGTATCTACAACGATTTAAAGTACAACTTACCACCAAAACGGGCGTGGTGCGTCTTCCAGGGCGGATTTTACCCGCTCGTTCTTCCCGTCCATGCTCACTCGCCGCCATGCCCGTCTTCACTGTCAGAACGGCGTGGCCTTCACGCACAGGTGCCACCTGTACATCATGAGCAAAATTTGAATTCGATAATCGAGTTAACATAAGATTAACAACTGACCAATGAACCATCATCACACAGCAGGCCCGAAAACTACGATGAATTAATTATTGCTTTTATCTTTCTTACAAAATTCTCAATTTTTCTATACTAATCATTCAACTTTATAGATTTAGGAGAGAAACACACCTTAGTAATTTTCCAATAAATGAACTTTTTCGACCCATTCATCTTTGAGATATTTCCGCCATTTTAGTTTTCACGCATCCATAAAACTGAAGAATATTTTCGATTGCGTATGAGAAATATATTTAGTATGCAATGAATTTTCTGATATATATTAACAGCAGATTCTTCCTGCAGATAAACCACAGATTTGCTGGGTGTGTCTTGACGTTCACTAGCCGTTCATTTTGTGAAGAAAACCGTCGAGACATAAATACCACCTTGTATACTGCATGGGGTATTGCAGTATCAATTGTTGCTGCTAGGCGGCGCTGTGAGACCGCATGACGAACGAGTGTTGTCTGCATTGATGTAGAAGGCAGGCTTCGGGTTAGCAGCAGTTTCAGTTTCTTCATGGAGTTGTATTTAACCTCCTTGATTTCTTCCAGCAGATCAACCACAGACTTGTTACAAGCCGTGTATGCTTTTTCTGGGGTGCCAATTATCTGATTAGACTTTTAAAGCCAATATTTGGGAGGGAGGCAATCATCTGCTTACAACTTTTCAATCTAGGAACAGGAGAATTTTTTAAATCAAAGACTATTTCAAGCATTTTGTGGGTCGGATTTGGGGCAATTAATTGCTTTAAGTTTTTCTATTAAAGAAGTAACAAAGTATTCAAGCCTATATTTTTGTGTGGGAGTAATTATCTGTTTCCAATACATGTATATGCAGAGGGCAATTATATTGAACCTATCAAACATAATCATGAAATGTTAGCTTTAGGCCACACCGATTTAATTTTATGGATGACATGCTCTGAAGACCCCCAAACTAGTGCACGCGGGCGAAAAAAAAAAGAAAAATGCGCCCAAAAATAAAAATGCTACTAAACCACAGGAATACAAAGCCAGTATTGTAAATTTGGCGCATTTCATGGCGACATAGACGACAGGCCGGCGCATGCCGGATTTTTGTGGAATTTATGAATCGACACTGTACGTATGTACTGAGTTCTTGAGTCGAGGAGCTTCGGTGATCTAGGTGCCGTCCTCCAGTTTTACCACACCGGCTTCGTTGTCGCTAACCACCATGGACTACCCAGGCCTAGAGCCTGGCCAGAGCCTCGGAAGACGTGACCTTTTTTTTTTTTTTTGAGATCAGGCAAAAATCAATGCGCGCGTGGATGTCATCCATAAGATTAAGTCAGTGTGGCCTTATGGTGATATTTGGGATCAACTTAGAACATTTGTCTCCGGAAACAGGACTGTTTGACTTTAAGGTAACATTTGATGAGGGCGGAGTGTCAGGTCCGATCTCGATAGTTGATGATTTCTACCATCCAACGAGCCACCTTGTAGGAGACACAGCTGTCCTGGGACCACCTGTTTCACCTGTCCTAGGACCACCAGTTTCAGCTGTCCCTGCACTCTTTGGTTTTATTACCTTCGCCAAGAAGGTTATGTTTTTGTTGGTGTTAGTGTGTCTGTGTGTGTGTGTGTGTGTGTGTGTGTGTGTGTGAACAAGATAACTCAAGAAGGCTAAGATGGATTGTCTTCATATTTGGTAGGTGGGTAGGTCTTGATGAGACCTGGAACTGATTAGATTTTGGACCCCCTGGCGGCTTGTTATGGTACTGCAGCTGAACTTCCGGTTTTGATATCTCGTGATCTGGACATGGTAGGGTCACTAAATTTGGATGGTAGGTAGCTCTTTGGCTGGGGAAGAAGTGATATGAGTTTGAGTTCCCTAGCGGCTTGTTCTGCAGAAGCATCCGTTGAAAAATATTCGAAGGAGGATAACTCAAGAACCGATTGACGGATCATGATGATTTTTGGTACGTGGGTACCTCAAAGAATGCTTGACATATTAAAATGATATTTATGCAAATCAGTAGCTAATTAGCATAATTAATGAGGAAATGCTATAAATCTGCTACCTGCCATGATATGATTGTTCAAACGTGTGGCATGTGTAATTGTGAAGAACATAGGTATTGTTTATGCAAATGAATGCCTAATTTGCATAATTAATGCGAATCGTCAACATTCGTCAAGGCCCAAGGGTAACATCATTTGGTGAAGGTATGAGTTTGTGGAACTCTAGTTCACCATGCAGCACAGGGTTGTTGGACATGGTACTTTTTAAGAGACACAAACCAGATCTAGACTGGTCTCCCCTGTACTAGGGAGGTTAATATGACACTAAAAACATTTGATCTACATTGCAGAAGTCAGAATGTATTGTGAGAAAACAGTGTGCTTCACCACCCTGTACTGGAGATGTGAAATTCATGGAGAAACATGGAGAATCTAAGACACATGGAGAACTAGAGTTCTGGGAACACACAACTTTGCCATGCAAAGACGTTTGTATTTTTAACTAAATGCTGTACTAGGATGAAGTGCCCAAATATTTTGGGAGCCAAATGCATGTAATTTTGAATTGTTGACTATCTACTTGTTATGTTAATGTCAGTTTCAGTTATGATTCAAAACCGACCTAACACAATCCAATTTAATCTTAATATGTAATGCAATATTCTTGAAGCAGTGAATTTACGCCATCAAAGACTGAGAGCGACAAGGTAGCGTGTCTTTGGTACAAGGTTTTTATTACATAAATATCAACCACAAGGGCTACCTAGGTACATTGGTGCAGAATTGGCATGGCTGAAAACATGGACAGCTTGCAGGTTGCACTGATCAATGGAAAATCAAGGAGAAAAGAACAGAACTGGACTGCTGGACTTGTTTGGTGGGGGAGGGGGGCGGTACACTGGTATCTGTTTTGTTTGATATAGGTGAAGTCTGAGGTATGTTTGCATTTCCAGGTTATGGACAGAAAAGATCCAACATCTTTTTTTCCACTTTATCCACGAAAAAAAATCCCCCAAGTTCAACTGACAAGTCCAGTTACTCAGGGAACAGGCAATGTCGATGATGAGGGAGGGCAAATTATCACCAAACAAGTGGTGAGGCAAGTTCTGGTAACACATGCCATGAGCTGCAAAGTACGTAACATTTCACGAAACCCTGTTTGGAAGAACAGCTCTTATCAATTTGGCGACTACTACAAAAAAACATTAGAAATATTGTAGAATTCACTGGCTTTCACCCATAATGTCTTTTGGTATAGCTAGAGAAGGAGTGTAAGAAGGAAACAAACTTGTACCCCTTGCCCATATCATAGCGCGAGCCTGTTCCCAAAGTTCCTTCAGCAGTACTCAATAAATGCTACATCCCATCCCTGGAGAAACCAGCCAACCAAGCACGTGTCTTCACTTTCTTCTCAGAACACTTTATACAGAACGACACACATCTGTATGGGCCCAAGAAGGGCCACAGGTCTTCTAGAATATGGATCACTTTAACGCACAAGTTTCTTTGTTGAAAACAGTGCCTGGTTAGCTGGCCTCTCATGAGAAGTCTAACCATGTAGTGTGGTACTGTCCACACTATCTATATAACACCCAGTGTGTCGCTTCATCGGAGGTGAAGCCAACAGCTAAAACTACACTCAAAGCAGAGACCATTCAAAACAAGAGTACCTTTGGCAGCCAGCATCTTTCAGAAGACCATTGAAAAGACAGAAGTAGATAGACTTTGGTCTTTAAACCATTTGGAATGACTCACACTTAAATGATTGGATGCCTAATACACAGTATTGCATACATGTTATCTTTCTGTTTTAAACTCTGAATAGATGATCACTACATCTTCATTTATTGCATTGATAGCCATCATACACTGCTGCAATGGACCAAGGGATTTGCTTGTCCAATCTTGGAACAAGGTGACTCTACTGGCTGTTCAGAATGGTCGCTCTTTGTCAATAAGTACAAAATGAAAAATGGATACTCTTAGCAAGACCCAGTCTTACCTCACAAATGTTGCAAGAATCTGTAGGGTTTTTCACTAAAAATGCATGTTACATAGTTTTGAAAGGAGTAAGAAATTGCTTTTCTTTCTTTTTTTTCGGTAAAAAGGCACAGAGGGAAAACAAACATTTACAGAGAAACTGCTTGCTAAAGTCAGGACACACCAGCCCGTGTCATTTTGGTGGGAGGTGGCGTGAAATAGTACATGCTCCTTGTGACGGTAAGCATATGGGTATGCAGAGAATGACAGAAATAAGAAAGTTGAGGGAATTACAAGTCTAGAACAGTTTTGCTAGCCAGTCTGCCAGTTGTGCTATGCTGTACACACTCTGAGCTGATCTGCAAAATCTGGAGAAGTAGTTTTCGGCTGTGGTACACAAACAAAAAGCACCGGGAACAAGGCTATTGTCCGTGCATGAGAAATAAAGGCATACAGTATGTACAAAATAGCGCAGCATAGTGTCTTTGTTACTCTATCAGTATGACATATAAATTAAGCCATATAAGAATTATATGCTTGCCAGTGTTAATCGCGACCTAGGTCAAAAGCTCTGAAGCAGATTATTAAGTAATCAATCAGACAGTTTTCGGGGTCTTCAACACAACTGGTCCGTTGTGCAACTCTATCTAAACAAAAGCAGATTTTTCCATTTTTATACAAAAGAAGGCAAAAAAGTACATTTTGCCATATCATTAATAGCAGTATAAATGAACATTGTTCACAAGTCACAGAGATCTAACAGAGCTAAGGCGTAAAACATTATAGTATCTAGCAACTGTACAGCATTCAAATCTGGGGTGGGGACTGACTCGCGACCACAAATGTGTATCGCTAAGGATAAAATGCCAACAATACGTAGCTTTACAACCTTTTCTTAATCTTTTCTTTGGATTGGCCTATAGTGGAGCTCCATAGTAACAGGACGACATACATGACAGTACATTACAGTCCCCCACATTTCACAGCTGTAGGGTTTTGCACACAGATTACAAAGCTGGATGTTACTTTACAAGTCCAAAAAACTGAGAAAATCTGACAAAAAAACGCAGGAAACATGTTTGGCTGTGATGCAACTTGGCAATTTCACATAGAGATCGGTAAATTTCCTACAGTTAACTCGACTGTACAGGGAGGCATATAGAAACACGCTCATACACAGTCCATACAAAATATATGAAACTTTTGGATGGTCGGACACGGACTTCCACAAGATACGGTTGGTACGTCTGTACGTCCACACATGGAAACGAACACATTTATCTTCCCCACAGGCTCAAGGACAAAGTGGCCTTTTTACAAAGAATGTGTTCCTTGTTTGCGAGAAGTAAATCTCCCGCAAGTGCACATACACACATTGATTATATATATGAACACACGTCTGGAGTAAATACATGTAAAAACTATTTTCAGACCTAGTCTTTCTACACTTTTGCATAACTTAAAATATAATTACGATATAGCCGTGAGGTCCACTTCTCTCTACAGCCCCCAGTCATATCTGAGGAGCAGTCTAAAATGTTCACCTAAAACAACCACAGTACAAAGCACGACTATAGTACACTACCACTCATAGCAAAGTCTTCCTAGAAGCACATACTAAAAAATAAGCAGGTTTAAAATCGCCTTCGTATTTACAGCATATACATATAAATATGCAGGGCTAGTTCCAGTTTTTCCTACACATAATGATAAAAGTTTCATCTCCTTGTTGTGTTGCAGGCTGGAATGAGTCTGTTTGGCCAGCCATTGTGGCAGGTAAGAAAGGAGGCAAAATTTTTTTGGCACCACGCAAACCCGCACGCACCCTCTCTCCCGCCCCTCTATCCAGCAGACATGCATAGCTTCCATACATGAGCCAGACGGTCAACCTGGGAACACTGGGCTTTACAAAGGTCAACCATAAAATACTCTCTCTTTAAACCTGAGCCTTTATCTTCAGTACAAAGTCTACAACCTCACGTTCTTCTTCTTAAGAACTGAAACAACATTTCCTGTACCAAACTTGCTATCTTTCCAGAGATACAATGTAATTTTACTGCATCAAAACCTTTTTTTAAGTGCATAAAAAGCACCCCAGAAAGTGTAAGTAGCGTTGACTTACACAGATGGAAAGACCTTCCCTCACAGGAGGGTTTACACCGTATCATCTCAGTATTTCTACTAGAAAAACATTTCCTAGTAAGCCAGACGTCTTTCTGTGTGCTGCTGCTTGACAGTGGACAGTCTGCTAGCTGCCATGGTTAGGGCATCGTGTTCAGGTGGTGCATGGGATCAGTCTCTGCTAAGCAGGCTTTCGTTTCACGTGGTAACCAGAACGGTAACATGGGGCACATCTTTTTTTTTCACAAGGAATCTCACTGTTTCTCCTCCCTTTGTTTGCAGTTTCACTGTTCCAGAAAACAACGGTTCCTGTCTTGCGGTCGTCACCTCGACAGGCGGGGCCTCTGTTCGCAGGCACGTACAAAAAATGGCTTTCCGGAGGAACTATTCTACATTTCCACACGGTGAGCTATATACAGCAAAGGTCCAAGTCTCTCGTCTTCAACAGTGAAGATTATGAGTCAAAAAGGGAGAGGAGATCGTCGTTGTTGTTATTGCCAGGAAGGTCCGGTGGTCCAAGGTATGACAACAGTTCTGTGGGGTCGCCGATATTCTCCGGTAGAAGCTGCAAGGTACAAAACAGGAGCCATGTTAGGAAAACAACCAAAAACAAACTAACTACAACCAAGGCAACATTATCCAGCTAGAGGTTTTAGCCCTGCTGAAAACGTATTGAGAAAATAGACAATGCCACGATGATTTTGAGAGGAAGACCCAAAACCACTTGGAGCAGAACTTTGACAAGATGACCTGGCATCCATGGGATTATCCTGGCGATCAGCAAAGAAGGTGGCCAAGGACAGACCCAGTTGGAAAGAAAAAGTTGTGGTCTTGTGTCTTGCAAGGGATGAAGAGGATAAGTTGACAAAGTACAATGATTTTGAAGTGACTTACATCAAGGCCTTCTTGTCCCTCTCCGCCACCGTCAATCACTGCCTGCGGGTCAAAGTTCAACTCATCGTTCATCCCCTCCCCTCCCGGCCTATTGGAGGGGTTGTTGTTTCCCACTCCATGATGCATCAGCTGTTGTGATTGGCTGCTGGGCGGAAGCTGGGGCGGGTGGGGGTGGTTGAGTGGGGGGCCTCCAGGACCACCGTTGGGTTGGTTCATCTACAAAAGGATCAAATGCGTTAGTTGAAATATTCGATGGATGTTATCTGTAACGGAGTAACTGCTTGAGTAACTGCTTTTGAAACAATGGGTTTGGGAAAAGGTTCTTCCAAATTCCAAAGAGAAGTGATATGCAATTTGTAGTCATGCCCTGAATAATTTTGTATGATACTGAGGTGATCTTCTTGTTGTATTAATAAACGTGCATGTCTGTATGTTCTTTTTCTTCAAAATTTGCTTGTCACATAAATGACACAAACGTCATGCTACAACACCTCAAAGTCAAACAACCAAGCCGGAGAAGCCCCCATACATAGCTTCACAACTACAAAAGCAGTACTAGTCAAAGCCAAACAAAAGGGTAGCCATGGGGAAGACGTGCATATCCTATCACCATGCCACAAAATGCCACACTTCAGTAGTCAACACAACACATCACCCCAACACTATCACATCCTGGACTATTTTTCCAACACTGTATGCTATCCTTCACTTCGGGGCCAGTTCTTTTTAAATTCACCGAGAATTAAACCAGGGAGACGACAACCAGGAAGTTTAAACCAGCTGCATCACAACCCAGAGGAAATTTTAGCCGACAAAATGCAATAAGATGGAGGAGAGACACTTTACTGAGGCTCCGTCTTTTCCATCGTCAACTTTCACGTCGACGTGAACATTCAATTGCACCTGCTCCTAGGGGAGAAAGAAAGAATGATCATGACAATCAGGCCATGATCCGTCCACATCATCAGCCTTGGAATCAGCAACTTTAAAATTCACACAACATTTTGTTGCATCCCTTTTCTACTTTTTTTTTTTGTCGTCGCATGATTTTGTTTTCTAAGCAAGTGTCTTTGCACACTGTTTGTTCTGTTTTGTCCTGCTCACCTGTGGTGACGCGTGATTGAGGTGCTTTTCTACAGGAAGGAGGTCGTTTGACGCAATGTTGTCGTTCATGTGAGAGAGAGGAGGTCCGTTGCTGGGGTTGAAGTCACCGGGCATGCTGACAGGAGGACCCTGGTGCCCTCCCACCCCTGGTCCGGGACCGGGTCCACCCTGGTTGTAGTCGTAACCGCCGCTGTTCGGTGTGTACGGAGGATTCGGGCCTTGGCCTGGTGGGGAAAAGGAAAAAAGTTTATTGGGAGGCAAAACAACACGTCACAGGAAATCTTCTGTGAAACACAGATTTCATGGTTAGAAAGACACTGGGACCAATTGGGTTGCCTCAACATTAGCGTACAAGCACATCTAACCTTTTGATTATAAACCATACAGTTGAGAACAGCTTTCCCCTATATTATGGTATCATGTTTGTTGTAAATTTCAGTTGTCTTTGAATTTTGAATTGTCAATTTTGAGTATCTAAGTGCCCAGTGTCTTTTCAAATTTAAAGTTAAGATTATCATCATGCCAGTTTTATTCATCCTAAGACTACTTGGTATATTGTACAATGCACTAGTGTAAGTTTCAACTTGAAAATAAGTTTTTTCCAAGGGATGCAAGTTAATGAGGAAACTAATGTTGGATTCTTCGTTGGACCGCAAGACTTCCTCATGCTCAGTATTCAAGCCAGGTCATGTCATAAGCATTATCAGCTTGTTTCATTGGTTAGTTTATCAGAGACCATGCCGTTGTTTAGTCGGTATCATGCCCTACCACATCACAAATGCTTTGTTTAGATTCCTACATAGAAAAAAGCAGGGGTTACTGCTGGGCAAGAAGACTATGACTCATTAGTTTGGCATTCCAAAGCAAAACATCAGTAACATAAACAACTGAGAGTTTTGTTAGAAGGGTCAGTCCGGTTGTTTGTTTTTTCGTACGGCATGCCAAACGTCATGTCCAGGTTGACTCACATCTCTTGGTAGAGTGGCTGAGTAAGTCCACTAGCCCACCTTGACCATTGTAGCCCTGCCCCGGGGGTGGGGGAGGCAGGGAGGGGGGGTAGGGGCTGGGCCCCATGTTGAAGTCGTGCATGGTGGGCATCTGCATGCTGCCAGGCGACATGGCTTTGAATCTCTTCGTGGGCGGCTGACACGACGCTGCTTCTGTTGGGAGAAAACACAAGAGAGTTTTTACTTGTTTGTTTTATTACGATCTCCATTTACCTAAATTTCCCACTATTCTTTCTGGAGTCTGCAGATGTAAATCACTGTGTGGCTAATACGAGATGGGTTCGCCAGGCCTATATTTGGGTGATTTGTAGTGAGTTCTTACTTACTTTAAATTTGAGTTTAATGCTTTAGTTTTCATGAATTTGTATTAAAATTGGTCAACAGGTGAAAACTCCATTAACATTCATCCACCATGTTACATGTACATATATCCACCACTTGTTAAGGTATTGAAAGAGACCTTAACTGATGAATTTAATTCTGTATTACTGTAGTTCTTTGGGGGAATGATTCAACATAATGTCAGAGATTAGGGCCAGTACCTTGATATAATAGCTATTTCATGCATTTTTTACATGCTAAAAAAGATGGCCCAATAACATACCATCGTCTTCCTGCTTGATGTCTGGACCAGGTTTGGGTGGGATGGGTTTCCAGCTTGCATTGGCATCTATCGTCACCTCTTCTATCTCTTGTGAACTGGGAGGAGAGAAACAGTGGGAGTTATTTTGGAGCAATGACTGGTAATCTCTTTTATCCTCCCCGCAAATAGGCTAGAGGTGGTAAAGCAAAACTGGTATACATTTTTATACATTTGGAACTGTGGCAGTAAGAAGATAAAATATTTTAATCTACAAATTAGAAAAAAACTCATAGTCATCATAGGCTCACCTCTGCACTGCAGTCAGAATACCCCACATAAACTGGTCGATCTCCAAGCCCTCTAACAAGGCTGTTTTGCTGTGGGCACAAAAAACAACAGTCAGAGTGATAGATGTCACTGGAATTGCCAGAAAGCAACAAATCTTTGTAATCTATCCAGTAGATACGTTGATGAAGGGTAGACATCCAGGTAAACAATCTTTAAAGATACTGGATAGTAGTAGAGTTTGAACTGTCTTTATTAAAAATCTGTATCAGAACACTGCAGTTCATATAACATTTAACTAACAGGGCTCGAAATACTGGGTGCATGTGCACCTTAGTTAGTGCAGCCAAATTTGGAGCTGTGCACCCAAATATTTTTGTAGGCATTTTTGTATATATGTATATTAAACGTATAGCATACAGGATATACTTGGCATCTATGTGTCAGAAAAATACTAAAATCTTTGCTGTAGTACTTGTTCAATATTTTGAAGTTACTGGTAGCTCCCATTTCGGATTCAATCTTAAATGAGGAGCAGTAAGATTTTATTTGGTGCACCCAAAAAATATTTTGTGCACCCAATTTTTTCGGTTGGGTGCTACCTATTCCTAACTAGAGGTCGTAGATCTCATGTCTTCGTCAGATGTACGTTGTTCTACAGAAATGAACATGTTTATTCTTTACGTTTTAATAACCAATGTAGTCTAAAGTAAAATAATCCCTGTACTCCCTTTTTAATGCTACGGACACCCTGAAAGGTCTCCAGTGGACGTCATCCATAACAATTACTTCGTGTGGCCGAATGAAATAACCTGACGCATGTCCAACTTTTCCTCCTCCAGCTGAAGTTATAATGAACAATCCCTCATTAAACGTTATTTGATCCCATCCCATTATGGGGTCCCAATGCAGCTGTCTCCAAGCAGACGTTGGTCATTATTTTTAAACACAAAAGGTGCGTTGCAGTGACGTAGGGACCCCCACGAAGCCCATTTACAAACTTAAAATTGGTCTCAACAATAGTAACCTGTCCACCAAAAATGATAAATATCAATTTATACATACTGTAAGTCTACAAATTTCCGCGGTATATTTAGATTCGCGGAATTCGCGGGGACCTCTGTACCGCGAATCTATTTCCCCGCGAATATGTTTTGCGTAAGTGCGCCCCCCTCCCCACATGCATTCACGACGGTAAGCGAAACACAAACACACGCAACAAACACAAATCCGCAAATCAACTCTATTCTTAGCAAATGTACGTATGTTGAGTACCAATTTTTTTTAAAGTTATACTGATGTCAAAAAATTATAATATTATGAGACACCGAATCGCGATACTGCGGCACTGGCCGTGTCAAACGTGCACCGCCGGACAAAAATCTGTGTGCAGAGCGCCGGCCATGCGCGCCCGGACGCTTGAAAATTGCGGGCACATCGGGCATATCTACAAATATTTTGATGAAAAATATAACTGCTGGTACCTGGGAAATGTTAGTTGATTCTCTTTTGTGCCCTGCTTTGCGGGCGTTTTTTTTCTTCTTGTTTTGCTGGATAGAAACGCTACCGTGGGGCGCTACAAAACCGAAAGCGATCTTTGCATACTTCCGGGTTCAAAATCTCGCCGAAGACGGCATAAATATTCTTAGCAATATATATTTTCCCGAAAGATTCTTTCGATTGTGCATTTCTTCACTAGAGTATCGATGTGTAGTCGTGGAAAATAGCGTTTTAGCGCTTATTTCCGAACAAAGAAAATTGTTTACACGTGCGTCAGATCGATCGTCAGCTATACCGCCGGCAGTCTCGCGCGGTGCACGAAACAAATTTTTGCGCCGCGTTTTAGGATATAAATGCCGGAACACGAGCTTTTATTATTTTAAATATACACTTTACAAATTCTTCTTTGAAAAATAGCCAAGGAGAAATCGCGAATCTAAAAATACCGCGGATTGTCCATTTTCCCGAAACCGCGAACTTTAGGCCCCGCGAATCTAAAGAAACTTACAGTATACAAAAGTTATTTTGCTCACAAGCCACAAACACAAAAGGTGCACTTACATGCCGTACGAACCCCCCACAAAGCCCAGAATTTGCACTCAACGGTAATCTGCCTGCCTAAAATCATGGACGTCGAATTATGCCTTCCATGGTTATTCCGCTAAATCCGCAGTCACCCACAATGCGGCGAGACAATTCCATAGTCTTTCTGAATAAGACAACAAGTTTACACTAGTGTTCCCTGGCCGGCCAAATTTGTCTACGAAAGCGCCTATACTTTGCAAGGGCGCATCGGGCGCCAGGCGCTGAAGCGCAAGCAATAAAACGGGTCCGGGAATATGCACCCCCGAGAAATTTGGATTTTTTTAACCTTCCATAACGCATTATCCTACATTTTGCGACGCAAAGTAACGCCGACCTCTTGACGTTTCACCTGCATACCTGCATACCTGCATACCGTCTTCGGGTAGGAAAGGCTCAAGCCTGTGTTGTCCCGATCTTCTCTCTATCCTTCGCTTGAGACGTGCATAATGTTTGCCCAGATCTTATCCAGTCTATTTTTGAATTCATTTACTGATTTCGCCTCCACTACTGATTCAGGTAAAGAGTTCCAGTTCACTGTTAGTACGCAAGGCATACTACTGGAAAACGCAACTTAAGAAAAGAGGAAAAACACATACCAGTATAGTTGAGGTCTCCACACCGAGAAATCCAAGGAAACTCCACCATTAAAGACATACTGTTGAGTCTGACCTGTAACCTAGCTCATCGATAGCACACACAACACTATAGCACAAATATCCTATGCAAACGAGGCTTACTGCTTATAACCAACCAATAGAAGAAAAAAGGAACAGAAAACTGAATACCAAATAGTATACAAATAACATGGACAGCTATATAGCTGACAGCTGTTCTGGCCACAAGGTCGATGACCTACATAAAAGACAGATCCAGCACAACCAATACAGCTGTCCTACTCTAATTGGCCAGAAGGTCGTTGACCTACATACAAGACAACACCAGGACAACCAAAAAATAAGAACAATATAACTTCTTTTCCACATTCCTATAAAACAAAAGAGTTCAAACTTAAACCACAAAATCTATATTACAATACCTTTACACCATACAAAAATCTACACTCATGCCACATCGGTACTTGAACTACAAACACACAAAGAAACAAACACAAAAGATCTATTACGGGGACATAACGACCTCCACGACTCTCATCTTTGAACTCAATCTTGGAGACCACCACAGTAACATGCCTATCAAATTTCATTAACTTCCATCCACACATGCAAAAGTTATCCTGCTCACAAGAATAATTAACAAAATGCCCCCTGTAGTCACAACGAAACCCCCCACGAAGCTCACTAACGAACTTAACCTTGGTCCCGACAATAGTAAGCACCACACCAAGAATTATAATCAACATTTTACAAATACTTGAGTTATTTTGCTAACAAGCCACAAACACAAAAGGTGCACCTACGTGACGCAAGGACCCCCCACGAAGCCAAAACTTGTACTTGACGTCGGCCTCAACAATGGTAATCTGCCTGCCAAAAATCATGGACGTCGAATCATGCCTTCCAGAGTTATATCGCAAAATCAGCAGTTCCCCACACTCCGGCGAGACAATTTCATAGTCCTTCTGACGAAGACAAAAATGAATTTTGAGCTCTGACCATCCAACCAAACAAACAACCAACCAAACAACCAACCAACCAACCAACCCAGCATGCAACCAACCAACCCAGCCGTGGACTTACTTGCAGACAGGACATCTCCACTGGCCTCTCTCACAGTTGAGTTGCAGGTAGGACTCCAGGTCGAAGCACTGGATATGTTTACAGTCGTGTCCCCTGGCGGGCAGCTGTATCCTCCTGAAGGTAATGGGACACTTGAGCGACACCTTGATGGCCGTCTGCTCCACGCCGTCCTCCCCGTTCATCGTCCCGCCGCTGGACGCCGCCACGCTGGAGAAGTTCCGCTTGACTGCCGTGGGGAAGACTAATCATGTTATCATACTGGTGAACTACGCAGCACATTGGTGTACGTGCAAACATTACACGTACAACAGGATTCATGCTAAATGTAAGATTTTATATGGTGAATGCTAAAATTGCTAAATGCTAAAAATAATAAAAAACTAGAGTTCCCCGATCTCATACCTTCGCCAAAGGATGTTAAACTTTATGACTGACAAATTATAGATTATTCCCCCCTGATTTAAGAAATAGCAACCTAATTTATGTGAATTATATCATTTTATCATAATCTCAACCAAAAGACAGTCTTATGTTAACAAACAATGCATTCTAACATTTCCTAATAAATTATGCAAACGAGGTCCTGATTTGAATAAATTATGTTTAATGATGTTCACCTCAATTTAACTTTCAAATACCACAAGTATGAAATTCCAGGCAATTATCATTACATAATTTTAAAATTTCTCATTAATTATGCAAATTAAGTCATTATTAACATAATCAATATCTTCCTGTGTTTCTCTCGTTGTCAATTACCAATGTCACAAGCTTCAATTGTCCTATCATGGAATACAGCTGATTTATAGAATTTCCCCATTAATTATGCAAATTACATCCATATTTGCATAATTGTCACATAATTATATTAAGCATCACGTAAGCTACCTACATACCGAAAATTACGACGATCCGTCCACTGGTTCTTGAGTTATCCCCTTTTGAATATTTTCAAGAATAAATCCCTGCACTTCCAGAGCAAGCCGCTAGGGGGCCCAAACTCACGTCACTTCTTCCCCATCACAAGAGCTACCTACTATCTAAATTTCATCACCATAGCATGTCTAGATCATGAGATATCAAAACCGGAAGTTCAGCTGCAGTACCATAACAAGCCGCTAGGGGGTCCAAAATCTAATCATTTTGAGGTCTCATCAAGACCTACCCACCTACCAAATATCAAGACAATCCATCAAGGCCTTCTCAAGTTATCGTGTTTACAGACACACACACACACACACAAACACACACATACACGAACGCCCCTGAAAACATAACCTTCTTGGCGAAGGTAATAACTAATAAATGCTAAAACAGGGACAATTCATTCATTTTTGAATATGGTGGCCTCTGTTGTTACCATGTGTCAATGTTATTGTGTGGCAGTTGCTATATGGTATTGTTGTACAGTAACTGTATTATGTAATGGACCACTGGCAGAATAGCTGAGCTAAATTCGAACGCTGAATCTGGAAAAAAATTCTGGATCCAAATACAATAAGTCAGTTCGTCAATAATTTAGAGCTCACTGTACTAGTAAGTATGTAAAGACACTAAACTTCTGATTAACTTTCCTATTAAATACCTATACATGTTACTATGTTACTATAAGACATAAATGAAAGTATCATGATAACAGGGAAACTGACTCTTTCAACTGATATACACTACAGATTTGAAAAGTTTCTGTATAAGGCTCCCAGTTAGTTTCCACATATCATGTGTCTTTCCTAAGTCAAACTGACCAGTATAATCACTAAGTCTTATGCAAACTGTTCTAAAATAGATCTTTTACTTGTGTTTGATACAACCCATCCCGGCACATGAGAGAAGTGCTTTAGCCATGTCTACACACTTTAGTTTGTACATGTAGTTCCACTGGCTGGGCACAATGAAAGCCAGGTCCAATCAGCCAACATCCCAGTAATGACCACTTTCATCAGGTGATGAGGTCTAGTTCAATTAACCACTGCTGGACTCAAAAGGCTCCTTCTGAAGCCCAGTGAGCTACTTCGCCACTAACGATCATGGTTCCTTCTGCCTAATGGAGCATGCCTTAATAAGCCTGCATGCCACTAATGATGACTTTTTTTTTTTCAATTTTCAATTAGTTCATCTGACATGCAGCCAAGGCTGCCCAGCTAGCCAAAGGTGATCTGGGTTCTCAATGGATTTTTTTCACAGGGTACAGAAGGACAACCATCTACAGTGCAAGCCGCACATCGAGTCCCAAAGACTTTTTTTTTCAATTTTCAATTAGTTCATCTGACATGCAGCCAAGGCTGCCCAGCTAGCCAAAGGTGATCTGGGTTCTCAACGGATTTTTTCACAGCATACAGAAGGACAACTATCTACAGTGCAAGCCGCACATCAAGTCTTTTTTTTCAATTTTCAATTAGTTCATCTGACATGCAGCCAAGGCTAGCCAAAGGTGATCTGGGTTCTCAACGGCTTTTTTCACAGCGTAAAGAAGTACAGAACTATCCACAGTGCAAGCCGCACATTGAGTCCCAAAGACATGATCACAGTAGGGGGTCTGGAATTCTCCCAATAAAAAGTTAAAACTCAATTTCCTGCTTAAAGAGTAATTTTTTTAAAGTTATGATTTCTTTTAACATGATGTTAATCTGTGTCAAATGGTGAGTATTTCTTAAAGTTTTACTCAAGTATTCCAAATGTTGCACAATTAGTGATGAGGAAGCAATTCATGCATCTCAGGTCCAAGTTTCTTTTTAAGAAAACTGCAAACTGAAAAGATCACTTACAGCAAGACCAGAATTTGTGCCCACAAAAGTCCAGAAAAGATGACTTACTTTTGGTGATGCAGTGTTCAGCTGGGAGTAACCTTTTCCTGAGCAGGCCCTGCAACACGGACCTGACACTCGGTCTGTGCACCAGTTGGAGCACAAAAAGGTGCGACTGGAAAAACAGCAGAGTTTACATTAGTGACTTCACTCAATGAATACTTTATTCTTCCCAACTAGTCTACTCAACTGTAGGACATCAGCAGAATTATTGCGCGAAAGAGAATTCGACTCATCTGAATTTTTGACCATATCTCTCGGTCTTCATCCTGTGTCTACAGAACAGATAGCTGATGAAGACCAAGAGATTGGGTAGAAAATTCCGGTGAGTAAATTCTTTTTGAGAACAGTTTAAATTTTCATAATACTTTGCAAGTGGTGACTGTGATCTGGATGGTAATTTGATGGTTATTCATCATCAGGTGAAGAAAACATTGTTTAATAACTTTCTCCATGCTGCCTTACCCATAAGAGAATTTGTAACTTTGGTGTGCTCAAGGTTAATTTTTTTACTGATATTTTACTTAAAAAACAACAGGCAGTGACTGTGATCTGGATGGTAATTCATCCTCAGGTGAAGAAAACATTGTATAATAACTTTCTCCATAATGCCTAACCCAAAAGAGAATTTGTAGCTTTGGTTTACTTTTAGATTAATTTTTTGATTGATTTCTACTTACACAACAGCAGGCAGTGACTGTGATCTGGATGGTATTTCTGCCGGGCTGGCACACTTCCTTCAGGTACAGAGGTTTGTGTGATGTCTTGTTCTCGCCTCTCTCGATGGTCAGTGGCGTGGCGTTTACGCTGACCTGGACGGACGCCGGCCAGTTGGTGTTCATTTGTCTGTCCTCGTGGTGGTAGCACTTAAACTGCAGTTCCAGGTCAGATCTGGAGGAGATCAATGATTAAAATGAGTAAGCACAGCACTGCAGTATGTAGAATGGTTTATTTGTTTATCTACAACAACAGCCTAGTTGCAGCTCTAGGGCTGAATCATCTTCAGACTTGTTTACAGAAACACATTAGAACAGAGCACATTGCGTCATCACTAAGAATGACAAGGCACAAGATGTCTAAAATGAAATTGCATTGACAACCTATTATTCCTGAGCCACATTTGAAAGCACTTTAAGATTACAGATTTTTGTATATCATGTACTTGTCGAAATTGTTACTGCTGTTGTCAGTTCTTTGTACATTAAGGATGCTGCAAAGTTCAGTTTTACCACTAAGAAAGTAAGATTGTTGTATGTAATGCAATAATTTAAGACTAGGGAAGAGGATAACAAAATTGAACTTGGTTTTTGCTCCTACCTCTCAGACAAGCCTTACCTTTCTTTACTAAAACACAAGAAATACAGACAAGGTGATAATGTGCTCCAGTTACATCATACAGAATATCTTTAGCTTTGCCACCCAAAAACAAGCGGTCCAAGAGGTGTGAACTTTAGCGTGAAAGTTTAGTCACATGTTTTTCTTTCTGACGTCATGATTCTGTTCGCCTGAGTGGAAAGTGCCCGGATGCGGACCAAACATGGCGGCGCCAGGAGATAGGCCAGAGCGGTACAGCGCGAAGTTCAAACCTCTGGGAGCGCAAGGTTACGGGCTGACTAGTGTAAACTAGGTGAGAAATTGATTTTGGGGCAGGGAAAATAGTGACTTTAAAAATTTGCGACGGTTTCCTTTAAATCCTGACTGCTACGTACCTCCACATGAGAGTTTGATGCACAGACTGGCGCAGGTGGAAGACATGGTTACTGACGGCCAGGTTGTGCTCCAACCGAAACGGCGGCAGCACCACGCCATCACGTACCGGGAATGTCAGACGAAGTTCATCGTTGGGATCTGGAAATGAGAAGACAATTAGTTCACTGAAAATTCAGGGTCTCTGGTTATTGTGAAATACCACAGAAATGTAACAAGAACATGAATTATTACATACAGTTTTACATCAAAGCCAAACTCTAACCCTTCAGCACGGTAAAAGTACAGTGTAGTAGTGTGCAACGTGCATACAATTTCAATATGATTTTCCCTAAGAATTACAAGGGTATACATATTTTCCCAGGGAATGTTATGTAGATCTGACAAATGTATAGGACAAACAAGATGTCAGATGAAAGCAAGATAATTTTCAATCCATGGTAGCACGTTGGCAGAACATACTGCATCTGAACAAAACCCAGATTTTTCATAGGTTTTGTTGGATGTTTGGTCAGTGTTGCAGACCATATCTTTTCCAACACAACATCTATAAACTATAGACAGGATGTCATCCTTAAATACATGAATACAACCTTGAATGAGACGTTCTGTCAAAATGCTGTGCACAATAAGTCACAGGTACAGTACATTCTGTCGACAAGCTAGCCATGGTATCTGTAAACTACAGATGGGACGTCATCGTTAAATACGTGAATATAACCCTACATGATACGTCACAGGCACAGTACATTCTACAGACAAGTTATCCATGATAAAGCTACCATACTCACTGGGTATGTTTGGTTTGATGTCAGGCGGCCCGTCGAAGCCAGGTTTCATGTCTGGTGGATACGGGGAGGGGACAGGAGGCATGCTGCCTGGAGTCATTGGTGGGGTGGGGTTACTGGGGATGGGTGAATGCTGGTAGCTGCTCATACTCCTCTGGGGAGGCTGTGGGACAGAAAGGCAGTTCAGCACATGGGCTAAGTGTTTATATATTGATGGGTTATTTGATCAAAACACAGTGTCCCAAAATTGCAGCCAATAGGCTGGAATGTTGTTGAGACATTAAATTGAGTTAACAAATGACAGCTTATTCTAGCAGTTAACATAGTAGTAAAGTATGGAATGTGACTATATAAACTTATCAATATCAAAATCATTGTCACTTTAAAGTACGTTATTTATTTGCTAGGCTCAACTTTTGATATGGTACATTGGTATGATAGACCTAGACTGTTGCAACAAGACCTATGCGTTTCCCAAATTATGAACCAATTTCCTAATCAAAACTGCAAAACAGAAATTGAACTAAAATGGCAAGCTGTCATAATGGTAAAAATATAGAATCATGAGTGTCTAACTTAAATGATTAAATAGTTATCACGCTTAGATGGGTAAGTGTCTCACCCCGTTGAAGTTCTGTTGCTGGTTGGGGAACTGGTTTGGGTGCATCTGGTTGGGGTGCATCTGATTCGGGTGCATCTGCACCTGCTGGCCTGGCATGCCCGGCTGGCCCGGGGGTCCAGGCGGTTGCCTCCCGTTCAACTGCCCCTGCGGCCCGTAGAACTGACCCCCCTGGGGTCCCCCTGGGAACTGCCCCTGGGGCCGGGGTGGTCCCCCCTGAGGGCCGGGGTAGTTGGGGGAGGGGGGAATGCCCTGTGGTCCGGGGTAACCTGGCTTCCCATACTGGCTAGCTGGTGGGTACTGTTGAGGGGGCTGTCCACCTTGTGGTCCATACTGAAGGGACACAAACAAACAAACAAAACACAACAACGTCAGGTAACGTCAACAGAGAAGTACGTCATTCCGCCACCACTCATTCAACACGTTCCTCTCTGATATCTGCAGAATATCGTGATGATCTCGCAAAAGGTCAGAATTGGACCTGTTCTCCCTTTTCAGCCTACATCAGCACTAAGTGCATGTAAGAAGTATTACTTTAGGCAAACTCTAAATACAGTATATTTAAACTGTAAAACAACTCTCCAAGAGAACAATTCTTGTTGGTTACTGTGTGCGTGTATTATAAGATGAGGCTGTATTGAAATCTAGCAGACAAGCTTGTGAACAAGCATAGGAAGAGAAGCTTGTCCAGTCAGCAGCAGTTTGAATACCATATGAATGATGTTAGCTTTGAAGATATTCATATATGATCTGCTTGTCATTTCTAGTTCACTGCAATTTCTATTGTTGTATACAGAAGCAAGGAAAGTAGTGTAAATCTTTTGCTTAAGCACACTGGGCACATATATCACAGAATGGAATTTATAGTGTGTGTAAGAAGAAGCAACAAAGTAGCCAACATTTCCGCATCCACACAAGCTCTCATAAATTGCCCCAAAGGATGTTCCCAGATTCCTCAGCTATTTACCTTGTGCCACAGATTTGGTTTAAAAATAGTTTGTTGTGCCCTTCAGTTTGTAATCTGCACTGAAGTCGCTTTGGTTGCCACTTTAAGTGACCAATAGCTTGACCACATACATGTACAATGTACAATATACAATGTATATCCAAATCTACACATCCTGAGATCTGGTAACATCCTTTATTATTGTCCCTAAGCCCAGCTGTGGGGGAACAATCCAGCATCAGGACACTTTATAACTGCAGGTTCAACTGTTGAGTCATCAGAGGGACCTTAGCTTTGTGTTCAACTGTGTATCATCATGTCTCTCATGCAATCTCTGTTGGTATATCCATGTTTGTTAGTGTGTCATGCAGGATCATGCTGGTTAGTACTACCGACCTACGGCATGCAAGGGGAATCCACGTGTGTTGTCTGTTTGCTTCGTTCGTCCTCTGTATTCCAACAACCTACCTGCGTTCGGAAACGTCTGCTGAAAACTATCGGGAACTTCGGATTTTCTTCATTTGGAATACAGAGGACATTGGTCCACATTGTTTAGCAATTCAGTAAAAGCTGAGGCAGGTCTGGGTGTTCAACACATTGTCCAAGGAGAGAGAAGCAAGTGGTCGACTTGTCTTTACTTTGAGGAAAACTGTCATATCTTTTGATGCAAGACATCATACAATTTCAGCAGGCCTGTTTCCTTTGTTATTAAGTACCTTAGAAACGCCAAGATATAAGTTTTTACCCTTGCTTTTAAATGCCTACATTCTTCACGAGTCAACTTGGCGACATAAAAAAAACGGAGTCTAATAGTGCTGACGTCACACTTAACAGCAGATGTACTGTTGCCAATAGGGAAGCAGGAATATCCGTGTTATCTTCCTCAACTGCGCTCCTGCTTGAAACGCTCGATGAATCTCCCAGGCGAATCATGCCGCTATCATTCTTATTATCTCCTATCCCAAGCCCACACATCACCTGTTGTCAAGCATTTCCCTAAATAATGAATTTGGATGTGAAGTTGGATGATACACGACTACCCGATCTCCCGAGAGTTTTATCAAGGAGCCAATCTGCCAGCTACATGCACCGACAATCAGAATTGCTTGGAGTCAAATTAGAAACATTGTGCTGGGGCCTTTCTAAGTTCAATAAAACTGATCAGAAGATCAACACAATTTCTGGAGAATATTCCTGATGAACTAGAGTGCCAGTATAAGGAGCGACAGACAAAGGATTCAAGTTCCGTTCACATCAAGTCTTTTTTCTGCACTTCTGTTATAACCACTTGCTTCTGCTTCCCCCGTCAATACCGTGGATTCCTTATGTGTGTTCTAGCACTAGCCTTTACCATAATAGTTTTCTCCTTCATTCTGCTATCGGTCATTTCCTGTTTGACCGAGAGGGCGGGCTGTTTTGTGGGAATGTTTTCGCTTGGAATCTGTGAAAACAAGGCCGGGAATGGGTAAACGTGGACATATTATCATCAACATGTGCTAGGATGTAATGTGGATGTACAGTTTTCCGTTGTAGGGGGAGGGGGGTACTTGACTAATAATGTGTTCTATGCTGCAGTTGGCTCCAGTTAGGGCTGTCATTTGGAGCGTGTCTCGCTCAGTCTGTTCTGTATTTTACAATGCAGCACTTGGCCTCTGGATTTGTGCTAAAAGGGAAAATTGTGCAGTAGTGAGTACGAGTCCTTTCACACTTGTGACACCAAAGTCATGCCAGCGGTGAAAACTACTTTACCTTGAGCGGTCCGTCCTCTGGACCCATGGGAAAGCCCTGAAACAAGCAGAATTGGGGAAGAAAAATATCTTTAGTTTCCTTGCTATAAATCTTTGCCAAGAGATCTTGTGCAAAATGATGTAAATTTGATACACTTCAATAAAAAGTCTATAGCAACATATACCATATACCAATAGGTACAAACATGGTAGCCTAGCACTCAGATACACATTCAATATCAAAAAAGGTTAGCTTTGTCGTGAATACCCTGATATCACATATGTGAGCTTACCAGCCATTTAAAAAATTGCTATTGCATCAGTACCTGAAGAATTAATTTTTCTGACAGCTGAACAAAACACAGCACCACAAAACATGATTTTTGATCTCCATTATGTACAGTGTAGGTATAAAAAAACTGTACTCTTTAAATTGGATGATGAAACCGTTCTTTTCTTCATTGAGGAACAGTTTCCAGTAACTGGGCACAGCTAAAGTCTGAGTCAGCAAGATTATACAATAAAGTGCGCAGCTACAGCTCTGACAAAGAACAAGTCGATGAAACGATGCCATTAAGTCCTGTGTTCCCCCAGCTCAGCACTATTCTGCACCTAGTGATTCCTCAGTAACCATCATACGTTTGATCATCAGGCGATAAAGGCTGGCCCTAAGGCGTCTCTCTCACAATGACACCTCCCATGATGCTCTAGTCTCAAACTGCCATTTCCTGATCAGTATGCAGAATGGAACCCCCCCGACAACACTTGCTATGTATTGAACAAGGATATTAAACAGATTTTTTGCTTCAGATGCCCTGATCACAGGTACTCTGAGGGCATTTATCTTCTGTAATACAACGGGAATCTGTTCTTGTGCACAATATGGCTAATATACATCCGGTGATGACAGATAAAAGTATGTTACCAAGTCAGCGAATCATAAACCACATTAATGCCTATATAATAATTCACTGGCCATCGGCCATTACGTTTGGCGACAATAGGGGTCGGAATTTGTCCGCAGAGCTTGCTCACCAGACAAAAGTGACATAAAATCAATAATTGTGCCCTGAAACATTTTGGGCCCATCTCATGTCAGGCCAAATATAGGAGAAAGTTAATTTAGTTTCATGGGCGCTGGTGCTCACGTATTCATCACTGGCGATGTTAATTGACATGGCGGTGGCGGGCTGTGTCGAAATGTTGCTGCTCTCTACGACACACCGGTGGTAGTGTATGCATGATGACAAAGGCAGGTGAATTTTAGATCCCCCTCTAGAGTCAGATACATGTAATTACGAAATCAAAGTACATGCATCCTCATTGGGACTCAAGGACAAAGCCTACGTCTGTTTTCTGGTGTTCATGATTTCAGAGCCAGTCGATTTCTGACCATTTGGGTAACATCAATTGCAATTTGTTTCATTCCCTTTCTTCTGTTCGTACTTAGTTGCTGTCAATTTCCAGCATGCTGCGCTTGTTTTCACTCATAAAAGAAGGCTTTTAGTTACTAGCTTTCATTTTAACTTCTTTTATTTTGCTTCCCCTTGCATTTTGAACAGCCTGACTAGATTATATTATACCCGTTCCCTCCTGACCATTTCAAATCTGACACGTCCCTGTGGAAAAGAGAACTTGAAGGGAGTATCAACCAACAGATCTATGAGTTTGGAGCTGGGTTGCTGCCAGATGAAAATGGCGGTCCTCCCTTTGCCTGAGATGCTGTCAGTGATTAAGCATCCATGAGCACCAAGGCTTGATAGGAAATCACAACAATGTATTGAACAGTTCCCCTAAGAATCCAATGGCACTGATGTATGGAGGAGTGAGCTCTGAATTGTTTTGCTGAATGTGTGATGTGAAGACAAGTTAAGAACACACTGGCAAGGAAACAAAACTGGAGTCATGAACCTTACAAAGCTGTCAGTATAAAGGTTAAATATGCTTCTTAAAAAAATCTATTGCAGTTATTGATTTTGATTTTTAGAAGTGTCTGAAAATTCTCTCACTGTCATAGACTATGAAATCAATCTAATCTTCTTCATGATCATTTCAAGTCTTCTTTCACACAAAATTTGTTATGTGTGTATGTAGTTATTGTAAAACTTACCACCTAATTTTTACATTCATGTTTGCAGTATTCTCTCAAGAGAACAATTGGAATGCGAATAAACCACATTGGAAAAATATAAGAATACCGGCAGTTATAAAATACCTATTTTTTTTCCTGCCACTATGTTCTATATCACCTGGGATAATCTACTGCAGAAAAAAAAATGCCACCTGAATCTGTGGCTTCAAATGTAAAAATGTTCTACCAATGATAGAAGCAGCACTCCCAACCTGAATCTGTGTCTACAAATAAAAAATGTTCTACCAAAGATGGAAGCAGCACTCCCACCTGAATCTGTGTCTACAAATAAAAAAAATGTTCTACCAAAGATGGAAGCAGCACTCCCAACCTGAATCTGTGTCTACATTATAATGAAAAAATGTTCTACCAAAGACAGAGGCAGAACTCCCAATCTGAATCTGTGCCTACAAATAAAACAATGTTCCACCAACATTAGAAGCAGCACCCCCTACCTGTTGTGGGTACCCCTGCCTCATGCGAGCCTGTTGCTGGGCTACGTATTGCCGGTACTGTTGTTGTCTCTGTGGGTTGTTGTACATGTTCATGTTCACGTTCATCTGTTGCTGCTTGTTGGGTGGCAGATTGGGTGGCATGTTGGGAGGCATGTTGGGTCTCTGCTGAGGAGGGTACTGGTTGTTGTATTGCGGAGGACCTTGCCCCTGAAAAACAGAGTATAATGGGGACCCCTGAAACGAGAGAAGAATATCGAGCACATAAAACAACATACTGTCTGTCTGGAGCTGCACTTTTGATTGAAGTGAAGACACAACAAGTTACAAACAATGTGCAAAACATGTTGTGCTCTTTCTTTGTGCACGTCTGACCACTGCTAATGTTACCAACTGTAAGTGAAACAAGAAGGTATAAAATAATGAAGAGCGTGAAGGAAAATCCACTTTATTCTTAGGCTCTGTCATACCTGTAAAAGACCATCTTTGTAATGCTTTAAATCTAGTTTATGCTGGTGGAGTGATTCTATGGGGATAAAGAAATCCACAAAAGAATGAAAGGCTTCCCTCAGGTGCACTACTGTGGGGAAATCATGTTTGTGATCATCCCAATCTCATCAATATCAGTAATACATGTATCATGTGGACATGAAGAGGGTGTTTTCTGCGGTGTTGTACTCACCCCTTGCTGCTGCCCATACTCGTTCAGCTGCTGCTTCTCGTGCAGAGCCTGCACCGTGGCCGTGGCGGTGGCTGTTGCCGTGGCGGCTGCGGCTGCGACTGCTGCTGCGGCGGCTGCAGCTGCTGGCGGTGTGAAGTCACCCGGCTGGCCGACCCCTTGCCCCGGCGTGTTGGGCGTGGGGGGATAACCACTGTGGGAAAGAATAGTGGGGGACTGTTTGGCTCCTTCTGGCGGAGTTTGGATTCTTTGGGATGCTCTGAAAGGGGATTGGACAGTGATCAGTGCATCATCACCCCACCGCTGGCAGAATTACGGAGCTAGCTCAATCTGTGAGCCATCAGGGGGAGGGGGGATTATCATTCCGGGGACCCAACACAGGTGACCCTACGCTGTTTTCAAACTTCTGCCATGTGGACAGCTTCAGGGGGGTGGGTGGTTGAGATGCTGGCTGACGTCCAACTCTAGGTAGGATCTTGAGCTACTTTCTTTGATGGAGGAAGGAATACCAACATATCCTGGGCCCCCCGGGATCATTTACCAGCCACCTTATCATAACTTGGAGGACAACATGTTAGGCCAAAGTGCCGGGTAGAGAGGAGATAATAGATCATTATCAAGGAGTCCCATCCCAAGTTCCTTACTGGGGGGAATTCTACCTGAACTTTGCCCGTGCACTGTCTGTTCTGCTCAGGAACAATGCTGCTGTAAAGTGGCCCAATTTTTGCCATGAGGGATGAATGCAGTTTGCTTACCTGTTTGGATGCGGAGGCCTGTTTGGGGGCATGTTGGGGTATCCCATACCATCTCGTCGGTACTGACCCATGTTCTGAGGGTTGTACTGCTTGTTTGCATTGGCCGCGGCCGCCGTGAAGGGCTGCTGCTGTGCAAAGTGCGTGTTTGGGTTCATACTGGTCGTGACGTTGGTTCCAGCGGGGGTCAGGGAGTTGTTGTTAAGAGCCTGGCTGTTGGAAGTGCTGGTGACACCCCACACAGTAGTGACAACAGACAGGGACTGCTGTTGCTGGCTACCTTGTTGCCATGCTACCGTGGAATCACTGTGAGAGAGCAGAATGGGGGACCCGGAGTGAGTTCAGTGCATGAGAGAGCCAATATTGTTTATATACAAGTATAAACGATACAACTGTTGAGCTACAGCATCACGACAAGAATATTTCCATACCTGGCACGTACATGTCTTATTGCAAAGCCTTTTTGTACAATTTTATGGAGGACGTTAAACTTTTGTTTTTCTGAAACAGATGCAGATCGTCCCTACATCAGCTGAAACAAAACCATCCAGTAGATACCAGATATCTATGCAATCTACTGACGACAGCCCTACTCTCATTGCCTGGCCAAAGATCCAATTAATAGCATCCTCACACACATACACAACTACTTATGTACTTATCTAGTACGTTTCTTGTGTATCCACAACAATGACATCTGACATGGGTTGTGTTGACCAGGTTAGGACCAAACACGACCCTTTCCCGAAGACAATATGAATAATGCAGCCAGTGTTTGAGGTGGGGGGCCCTACCAGACAATCACAGTTCACCTTTTCATTAATGAGACAAGAGAAAATGTTTGGCTGCAGGTGAAGGAACACGATAGTCAGTGATTCCCCCAAGGAGAAGGCCCCGATTTTGCTGCAGCTAAATTATTCATACCTACAACTGTCTGGCGAGGCAGGTATCTGCCGAGCTACTTGTTATGTCTTTTGACACATTCATGTTATTCTAATGAAAGAGCGACGCTGGCAGACTGAACATAATTAGGTAAGACAGGCACGCTTAAATACAGAATGTTTGGACTAGAAAAGGAAGGTGCGATTCAAACTGGTTGAAAACAACGCTGAATTGCAACAGTGTCATGTTTTTTTTCTTGCTAACTGAATATCCGAGTTGCAATCAGATTATCAATGTCTTTTGCAAGAATTTGTTTAATTTTTTATTTGTTATGCTATCTGTAAAATTTTGGTAAAAATATTATAAATTTTCATCATTCTAAAATACCAAGTTTCTCTCCTCAATCAAGATGTCTTTGTATAAGTGCACTTTGTTTTAGTACCCAATTCCTACTAAACCTAGTATCTTTCCAAATTTGGCAGCATTGTTAAACTTATAGTCATGCTACATTGTTCCGTATTTTCCCCCACAACCTGTGGATAAGCCCACACCAAGTAAATTTTATGGATGACGTCCTTTGAAGACCCTAAATCTAATGCGAGAGGGCGAAAAAAAAACAAGAAGGGCCCTAAAAAGCAAGATGCCTAGATTAGAAATATACTAAGAGACGACAAATGTTAGGACACAAATTGAATGAGGTGACAGAGTTTAACAAGCAAGAAGTCTTTTATTCATCACCAAAACAGCAATAAACAGAAGTCTACGGGTTTCACGTCAATCTGACGATTTGCGGCACTGTCGTGACTCTTTGGTCATAGTTACAGGAAGCGGAATTTCTTGTTTTTTTTTCTAGGAACAGGCCAAAATCAATGCGCGCGCGGATGTCATCCATAAAATTTATTTGGTGTGGCCTAAACAATAAAACAACAACACAGAAAGTTGACACTCACCCTTGTGGCACTGGAGGGAGGTTCTTCTGCATCTGTTGGTGCATGGAAACTGTTTTGGCGGCGTCCGAGTTACGATTCTTCTGATGTCTCAACAGTAACAGTCTTCCCAGGTCCTCACACCAGAGAGAGAGCATAGCTGCACACAAACACAAACACAGAGCTTTGGTTAAAATCCTTGGATTATCTGAGGGGAGTGTCACACCGAAGGCTAGCTGTTGTCCTTGGCAAAGGACAAATAACAGCATAGTATGGGAGAATAGTCAAGTTTGAATGCTAAGTTTAAAAAAAGCAAATCTGATGTCATTGAGATGAAAAAATTTGTACAATGTATCTGAGACAAAGGTTTGAAATAGTAAATTTTGTTATGATATTCTACCAATTTTGTTATGATATTCTACCAATTTTGTTATGATAAAATTGATATTCTACCAATCATGCCATCAGCTTCTCTTCCTTTCAGGCAGTATCCTTGATAAAAAAGCAAACCCCAAAAGGTGTTGCCATTGGCAACAAGTACACAATCCCTTGGAAACCCTTTCGAACATGTACATTCTAGTAATTAAGAACTTTTCCAGCCATTTTCATCTTACGCATAATCTAATCTTGTCTACATGGCCTGAATTGTTCAGCAATGAGTGTGTTATTGGAATCACTATGCAGCAAGACATTGTCTTGAAACTGATATAGATGGTATCCAACTTGCTCCGTCACATCAGGTATGAACACAAATAGCATGAAAGTGCTAATGTTGGAATCTTTCAACCTACCTACTGTGCTACTAAAACTCACTACCTGATTATACTGAATGGATTGGTACACTTTTTTATTAGCCTTGCACGACGTTTATTTCTTTTTCCACCCCCAGAGGAAGTGCTTGGAGTACTGACGCAATCAAACCCACGTCACTTCGGGTCATGTGATCTCTGACACATTTCCTCTGCCCGATCATGACGCATGCATTCATACACGACCGATGGAGATCTCATTATGTAAGAGTACGAGTGCTCTCTACTCTTGTAGAACCCTAAGGTATGAAGGACCATTCTGAACCAATACTGGGTATTACCAATTTTGAACGTGGAAGTACATCCATCAGTAAGAGCACAACAACACTGGATAAGCTGCTTGGATACTAGACTAGAAGTAATCCATCTCAAACTTGTATACAACAACACTTTGTTAGTCAATTTACGATTCAGATAAATTCCCTCGGGCAAATGTATGTTTCCAACAGCAGGTAATTGCTCTTGCTTCAGGTTCAAGTAAGTTGGAATCGTGGGGATTTACACATCCCTATCTTGTCATTGAACTACAAGTGCTGGCGTAGTATGCCTAAACATGGTCCTCCTGTTAACACACAGCTCTTAAAAATTAGATTCTAGCTACATTATATTGTAATAACGCAGGGCAGAAGTGGTGTTGTAAGAACACTTGGACCAGGTAAAGCTGTGTGGATAGGTTTTATGTGGAAATAAGAGTCGGGTTGAATCAGGATGTAGCTCAAGCAATTAGCCAATTCAAGTGGTGATACAAACAATTTTTCTGGAGAAACAATTGTGGACACAAACTAAATTCTTTGTTACACATGTATTGACAACAGGTTTTGTTTGTTACTTTTTACATTTCAATCCTCCCACCCTATACATTGGTTTTATAATCCTATGTATCATGTTTAATTGCCAATAAATACTGAAATTACTGATAAAAATATATAAATATACAGACTACCCAGTAACATTCAATTCAATATTACGAACCACCGGGATTTGTATGGAAGAGACACAACAAACTAATGATTCAAGGCCATATCGAGTCCCCAAGCTTTGAATCGGAGAATCCCTATAGCAAGGGTATCAAAATTACCACTGTATTGACAGACTGACCACAGACAAGCAGTGGATACCACAACATAACAACATAACTCTCCTCCTGGGACCAACGTTACCAACACACACAGATTCCACAATACCCAAGCTTGAGCTAGAATTTTTATCAGTTTTAATAGCTTTTTATTAATTTCTTCCAGGACTAGAATCAGCCAAAGACCAACTCTGTGATGTTAAAAATTATACAATTATGTACTGCTTTTCTTCTCCATGTTTCAATTGTCTAACTGGATCTTCTAGAAAATCTATGGACTTTCATACTAGAATATCTCTTATACTTTTAGCTTCCTTCCCTTCAGGAATCAATTATCTATGTTGTGTTGTTTGAAGGACATCGTGGCATGTTTGTTTATAAAAAGAACTTCCTCAGTGACCTCCTCTATCAGCAAGGTTGCAATATGCTGATGAACCTTACCCTAGCCTTGACTGAAACCTGAACCCCTCCACCAACACACATCAAGCAAATCAACACATTCAGACAAAATTCAACACAGATTATCCTCAGAACAGACCTACAATGAACCAATTCAGACAATATTTTTCTAGTCTCCATCAGACTTCTTTTGCAGGCTGAGTAAATCGTAGAAATCGGCCCTAAAAAGGGTATTAATTGGCGAGTTTATAATTGGCGAGTTTATACCCTTTTTAGGCCGATTTCTACGATTTACTCAGCCTGCAAAAGAAGTCTGGTGGAGACTAATATTTTTCCACGAAATCCAGCAGAATTGAATTTGTTGAGTAACATATAATTATTGTATCCATCACTGCAACATTTTACCACTTTATTTTGCATTAGCTGGGATAAAATGATTACTGAAACAGTTGTGTTAGAAACAGTCAAATTTCAATGTTTCAAAATCTATGTCACCTTATCGCCTGAACACCGTGAAGATATATTTTCCACCTCGAACGTCTAATTAATTTGTCTGAAGAAAGTCAGCCAAGGCAACCTACGGTAAGTAGGTGTTACAGAATCGGAAAACATGGATACAATCATGGATACAATTGTTACAAAGCTTTAAAAGCCAGACTAGTTGTAAGTTGTAAGATATTCGTCAACAAATGTTTGAAAAACAATCACCGGGGCAATAATAAACACATTCCTTGAGTCTTTGCAGCCTTTCAAATATCCACATCCTTTCTAATTACATTCATTCTACATGTATTTTCTATAAAAAAAACAATTTCCAAGAACTCAATGCATGATTAGTCTGATGTTAGCCATAGATACTATAATAGTATTAAGGAGTTTTTCTTCATTGTAAGATACAGTGCAGTTTCTGTTTACAAAATATCACATACTGTGATACATGTATATAATGTCTATCTCATAAGTCACAAAAAATGCAATATCAAAATGGTCTGTTTCTCATGCAAGGTATGAACAATGGATTTTGTCAGGGTGGCAAAGCAACTCAGCTATTAGTACCCAGGCTAAATATCAGGACAAATACTGTATACTATCAAAAATAAACAAAATTTCATTAAAAGTAATACAACAAAGCTTTTATTAGTACTGGTATTTCCCCATTAAAACAGATAAAGTACCTAAACATCAGAACCTCTATAGCGTTCACTGTTGTATTACTTCTTGTTGTTTACAGAAAATATCCTACAATCCATTGGCATATGACTAGAACTGAAGCAATGTTTGTAGTTGCTAGTTGCTAAAATGAACAATTTCAAGTTTCCTCCATCTGTAGCACACAGTCCACTTAAACGTTCACGCTAACACTTGCAACACGATAAACACGCCACCTCCACTGCTTTCTGCCAATAAATATATGAACAACCCTTGACCCCCTCCACCCAAATTGCTGTCTACATAAAAGGTTATGTGTGTCCCAAATTGGATAAATCCTGGCCGAACGCCCCTACCCTCTCACCCCATTGTCTCGCCATTTATGCTCAATGACAACCAAATAATTTGTTGCCCTAAGAGCCAAAGGTAAACACTCCGTCCAGGAACACCGCACCACTCAACGCTGCAATGGACAAACAGTACACTAACGACTAACGTCCCCAACCTTTCCTCCAAAGGCTAAACGGGCGTGTAACGCCGCACGCTGCTTTAACTGTAGGTAAGGGAAAGGGTGGCTTACCGAAATGACAACAGCCTTTAATGGCATCAGGAATAATTAAGTCATGAGAGGCATGCAAGGCTGTCTGCATAATTCAGGAGGTACAACGTAGGGAAATTAAACTGTTTCATGCTCAAGAAGAGAGATTACAGCCCTGGAGCAAAGACACACACACACACACCGGATGCACTTAGGAAATATTTTTAGCCAAAATTTTGATACATACATACATGTAAAAGTATGGGCTGTCCAATGTGTATGGTATTGACGCTACAGTCCATATTTAAGTCAATCAGTCAGCGATTGTATGCAATATGGCACATAAAAATGTTTATCACTCCAAGCAAAATATTTGATGTGCCAAGCAACTTTTTAGTCAAACAGGAGCCTTTCATACTACAAGGAAGTACAGTGTGTACAGTGCAGTCTGATGTAAAATATTTGTTTAAAAATGTCAACAAGGAATCATAAATATAACAGAAAGATCACAGCGCCAGATATTCTATGATGCCAGTCCCTGACAGCAGTTTACTTGTACAGGCTGCCACTCAGCGTAGTAACATATACACAGCCAAAAATCAATAAGCATATCAGGTAATTATATTTATCCTGACAATATGAATAGTTGCTTTAGAGATTACATACACAGAAACAAATTATACCGTTGCATGTGTTCCCACTAATACCAGTACTTTCCCCTCTATCCCAAACTGAGTCGCAAACATTAAAGGCTTTGTGGGCTGTAGGATGGTTGCATGTCAAGGATTGGCCAATGGTACGGGACCTTGCAAAACCCACACTAGTGGTGAGTAGACACATCACTTATGACATCACAATCACGTTGTGCATCCACAGTGCGGCTCAGCTGAGCAGGAGATGTTTGAATAGGGTTTCCCGGGGACGGTAATAACGCGGGGAAAAGGCTGGAAATAAGGCATGAAAGGGTACTCACACAAGCGGGAGGGTTAGGTCACAGTGGGGGCACGCCTGCCACATTATCCACACCAACGTCTGGGAAACACTGCCATCTGCCAATAAGTGACTACGCTTTACACCCATGCTGCACCTGCTAATGGCTGTGCCAATAACCGGCCACCCTCCCAGACATTCACCACGCCGTCCCAACTACCGCCCCCTGTGAATATGCCGCGGTGTTACCAATGATCGTG